CTTACCTTCAAAGTCTCTCCCTCCCTTTCTCCCCAACTCCCAAACATACCCATAGCAATTGGCATGTAAAGTTATATTTATTGATTTATTATAAAAAGCTACTCCCTCAATCCCATTTTGTAAGATATGTTTCCTATTCACTTCGTCAACACTAATCACTCTTAATCTCTTACTTTATATATCAAGTTTTTATCAAATTTGATTCTGGGTTTTGCGACTTTGTAAAGCTTTTGATGTAGTTTCTGAATATGTAATTCTTTTTTTCTAAAAATAATTTGAGTGTGGACAAAGATCCATTTGCTTTATCATCGGTTAAACATCGTAAACCGTAAAGTGCCTTACGATTCGAGACTGAGGGAGTACATCTAAACGGTACTAGTCTTACTGGTTTCAATTTGGCTTTTAGACCCGAAGCACCAAACTCACCCACGGTTTACCGAGCACATAAATTAAGTGTTTGAATTAACGGGAACGCCAAAGTGAGTCAAGAATGCTGATTTTTTGACAAAACACCATTTTCCAAACATGGCCATATCTGTTGGCCATCACATTTAACCTGTTAACTAATGATTTGTTACCATATTTAACGTATAAACTATTGATTATATATTTATATATATGTTTGAGAATCGGGTGAACCAAAGTCTAAAGCTAAACTTATTGCACTGGTCAAATACTGGTTCAGCCATTGATGCTTCCAAATAATAATTTTTATTTTGCAGGTGGTGGAAGGTGTTGAACATGTTGTGGGCTTTAACAAGACAGCTTCCAGATTATATGCAACCATTGATCTGGAAAAGGCAAGGGTTGGTCGAACCAGGCTTCTGGATGAGCACAAAAATCCCAAATGGTATGAGTCTTTCCACATATACTGTGCTCATATGGCTTCCAACGTTGTCTTCTCTGTCAAGGTGGACAACCCCATCGGAGCAGAGCTGGTCGGGAGAGCGTACATGCCTGTTAAAAGGCTCATAGATGGGGAAGAAGTCGACGAGTGGCTCCCGCTGTTGGACACCAGTCGTAATCCCATTCGTGGACATTCCAAGATCCATGTGAAGCTCCAGTTCTTTGACGTCCAAAGAGAACGCTGCTGGGGGCGTGGACTGAAAGCAGGACGTTTTCCCGGTGTTCCGTACACGTTTCTTCCCCAGCGACAAGGCTGCATGGTCACTTTATACCAAGATGCTCATGTTCCAGATAATTTCATACCGCAAATTCCGCTTTCTGGAGGAAAGTTATACGAGCCACACCGCTGTTGGGAGGACATATTTGACGCGATTACCAATGCCAGGCATTTGATATACATAACAGGATGGTCTGTGTATACTGAGATCACATTGGTGAGGGACCCGAGGAGGCCTAGACCAGGCGGTGACGTCACTCTCGGTGAGCTGCTAAAGAAAAAAGCGGACGAAGGAGTTCGAGTTCTCATGCTTGTTTGGGATGACCGGACTTCAGTCGGTTTGCTGAAAAAAGATGGACTAATGGCTACTCATGATGAAGAAACTGGGAATTATTTTAAGGACAGTGAAGTGCATTGTGTGCTGTGTCCTAGGAACCCTGATGATGGAAGGAGTATAATTCAAGACATAGAAATTGGAACCATGTTCACTCACCACCAAAAGATTCTGGTAGTTGACAGGGAAATGCCAAATGGAAATGATGAGAGGAGAAGGATAGTGAGTTTCATCGGTGGGATTGATCTTTGTGATGGGCGATACGATTCTCCGCTTCACCCACTTTTCCGGACACTCAACACGGCCCACCACGACGATTTCCATCAGCCGAACTTTGAAGGTGCATCGATTAAGAAGGGTGGGCCAAGAGAGCCTTGGCATGACATTCATTCGCGCTTAGAGGGGCCAGCGGCTTGGGACGTGCTCTTCAACTTCGAGCAAAGATGGAGGAAACAAGGCACTCAAGGTTTGCTCGTTGACTTGAGAGATCTTGAGGGAGTCATCATCCCGCCTTCGCCCGTGACGTTCCCAGACGATCAGGAAACGTGGAATGTTCAGGTCTTTAGGTCAATCGATGGTGGTGCCGCTTTTGGTTTCCCCGATGCGCCTGAGAACGCGGCCAAATCCGGCCTTATTAGCGGGAAGGACAACATAATCGACAGAAGCATTCAAGATGCATACATCAATGCCATTCGCCGTGCGAAAAGTTTCATTTACATAGAGAACCAGTACTTCCTGGGAAGCTCTTATTCTTGGTACTCTGATGATGTCAAGGATGAGGCAATCAACGCTTTGCACCTCATTCCGAAAGAACTGTCATTGAAGATTGTGAGTAAGATTGAAGCAGGAGAAAGGTTTACAGTGTACATTGTGGTCCCGATGTGGCCAGAGGGATATCCAGAGAGCGGTTCGGTGCAGGCGATTCTTGATTGGCAGAGGAGGACTATGCAAATGATGTACACCGATATTGTTCAAACGCTCAAAGCCAAAGGCGTCATCGCGGACCCCAAGGACTACTTGAGTTTCTTCTGCCTTGGAAATAGGGAAACAAAGAGGGGAGATGACTATGAGCCCTCCGAGAAACCAGACGATAACACAGACTACAGCAGAGCTCAGGAAGCAAGAAGATTCATGATATATGTTCATGCTAAGATGATGATAGGTAAAATATCAATTCACAGTGCAACTAAAAGCTCAAACACCCAGATACTAATAAGAGAGATCTATATGTCATTTCAGATATTTTAGTAAAAAAAAAGTTATTGCCCAAACAATACGACTTTTAATAGGCAGTGCTTGGTATTCTCGTGGTGAAGACCATGATGACGTGTTCTTTCATTTTTGTTGCAGTGGACGATGAATACATAATCCTGGGATCAGCCAATATAAACCAGAGATCAATGGATGGGGCACGTGATTCAGAAATAGCGATGGGAGCCTACCAGCCACACCATCTATCCGTGAGGCAGCCAGCACGTGGTCAGGTTCATGGGTTCCGGATGGCATTGTGGTACGAGCATTTAGGCATGTTGGACAACAAGTTTGAGCATCCCGAGAGCGTCGAGTGCATTAGCAAGGTAAACCAACTGGCTCAAAACAACTGGAACCTATACTCTGCCGAGACGTTGGAACATGACCTGCCTGGCCATCTGCTTAGTTATCCAATTGGAGTCGCTGAAAATGGAGAAGTAACTGAGCTTCCGGGATTTGAAAATTTCCCGGATACTAAAGCACGAGTACTCGGAACCAAATCCAACTATCTTCCCCCAATTCTCACTACTTAAGGAGCTGAGTTTTTTTGTGATTCAGATTTACTGTTGTAAGGTCTCATCCATTGTGTTATCAGTGTGAGGTAAACATCTATTGTGTGTTTCTATGAACCAAATTGGCGGATGAGTACCAGACTACCAGGTAAATGATGCGAGATAACCATTCAAAAGCTTGTTTGATATACGTCTTCTGTATTTTTTAATACTAAACTCAAGATTGTAAAAACTCATTGTATTCAGATTTTGTTTGGAGTATTCAGAAGTAGCCCAATTAAGATAAGTATAATTACTTTTTAGTTCATTGTACTATTAAGAGTTAAAATTACATTCTTCAATCGACATGCCATTCTCACTGATTGATTGGCAGGCTTCTTCTGCAACTTAAGACTTCTTCAGTAAGCTTTAACCTGTTCTTGTGCTAGATGGTCTTCAATGACCTTCCTAATAATGAAGATAACTCGAAATTCTAGAAATTATTTATATGAGTATTTTCTATTAGTCCAACAATCCACAGTTCCACACTAGGCACTGATTCAACACATGGTCCTCCTTCACTGCCTATGCTTTTGAACCCAATACTTCCAGTTATGCCCAGCTGGCATTAGGTTCTAGTATACTGTCCCACAAGCAGTTTAAAACAACTCCATAGAGTTGGTGAAGGTAAATTGTTGAAAGGTAGGTATTTACACAGCATGGTATTTAATCAACATGTTAGCGTGTTAGTGCTGTTTATGACTGGCTGCTTCAAAACAAGGAGAATGGTATTTACACAGCAGAAACTTTTGCTGAAAGTCAAAAGATCTGTGAGTGCCCTTCATGATCGTCTTACTTCTGATTAACCATCTTTTTGTAAATTTTCTCAAGGAAGGCTAACTAAAACATCTCATTGGATATAGACCAAACAGGACTACATCTTCGCAAAAGCCCTCATATATTTGAGGAGCAGGCCCAACCTTGGGATAAAAATTAAAGAAATTGTCCTAAATAGGAGTAAAAACGTTTAAGAATTCCAAAAATAGAACTATCATGTTTTTATTTCTTAAATATGGGTAATTACTAACATGTTTTCACATTAGCAAACTTTAAACATGACAGTATAATTCAAACTTGACAATAATTACTCCTATTTAGAGAATAAAAACATTACGGTCCTATTTTGGAATTCCAAAACGTTTTTACTCTTATTTCAGGAATTTTTCCTAATAGTTTGTCCATACCACCTATTTCCCAAACGAGCCAGCTTGTGTTTGTCTCTACAAACACTCATCATATAAGAATTAAATTGGTGAGAGGAGTTGCTCCGAAGTAACAATGCGTAAAGACATTTCAACATGATTGCTGCCAACTTGGTCGAATACCATCAATAATCTAATAGACTTTTTCCCTCATTTTAAAACTAGGCGACACCGCGACACTTGCAATATGCTTTTAAACATGCATGCAATCAAGTTGGCTTCTCATTTAATTCTATAATAACTTAAGTTTCTCACAGAAACAATTTGGATCTTGTATGTGTTTGATGGTTGTCAACATTACCTTAAACAAATCATCCCAATATACACAGTAAAACTTAAAACAGTATGATCAGATTTTCATGTACCATCTACTAAAAGCGAGAAAATGGAAGCCTAATTATGCTGACACATTTGACATTTGCACAAATGTGGTGATATCATGTATCGATTCATGTTAGCCGACCCCATATCTTTTGGTACTAAAGCTTGGATGTTGTTGTTGTATTTGACATTTGCACAAATGTTGTTTATGACCCACTAAAAGAGTTTTAAGCATGTCCAGAAGCACGTCCAAACATGCTAATTTATACTCACTCTTCCATGTTTCCCTAACTGTAAATCAATCACTCAAAGAAGGGGAAGATAAAAACATAGTTACGTCCGACAGAAATAAATCACCAACTAAAATAGCTGGACAATCCAAGTTCACAAGGAAAACAGCATGAACCGCAAGTTGATAGAATGGAAACACATACATTCAGAAACCAGAAAACATTTCTTGTGCTGTCTTTCCTACTGCTTAACGCCCTCCTGATTGAGCAGAATAGAAGCTAGACCTCTTCTCCACCATGGTGTAACTGATACTTCAATATTTTTGGATATAAGGGAAGGCAGACCACTGGTGATGCTGTTGCTGGATGACATCTCCTGATTCGTACTTGACACTAAAGACCTAAGGCAGATACAACCCAAAAGTAAAAAAGTTTGTTATTGTTTGCTCTTGTTTTACACAAAACACAATTACAAAAAGGAGAACACATTTTTATTTTCTTGAAAGGCAAGATTAGAGCCTATTGATGAAATTTTCTGTTTTAAAGGGAAAAAGTTAGAATCCAAAATAAGGAGCAATTACATTATTAATGCTTGTATCTGTGAGCAGTCTAACGACAATGGTTTAGAACTTTACTGTAATAGGTGTTTGTTTGGATCACATAGGTTCGCAATTCTAAGTTTTTTACCATTAGTCACTATTTGTATGTTTGGCAAAAAAGACTTTGTGGGAGTTGTACTAGAGTTCTAAAATATGCTTTCGTGAGCTAGTCTAAGTAGCTTCTAAGACAATGTTTTAGCCTTTACAGTATTTGTTCATTTTTCATTGTTTTTAGCTACAAAATTGAACATATAAAAATATAAAATAGCATAAATTTGTGCTTGCATAATAAATATTGCCATAATTCACATAAGCAACTAATAACATCATAAGAAGTTTAAAAAAATCTTTTCAGCAATTCGTGACAAACATACTCTAACAGTCTAAGTAACGATTCTTCACATGCAAATGTATATAATCCCCCAAGAGATTAGAGTCCTGACGAATGTGTTCTCTATACAATGTATACATAGACATCAATGAACACACACAAGGTGTTAAACCTACGCAGGTAACTACAATGCTAACGAAAATATTTTACATGGATACAGTAAGCACATAAGTGATTATCATCAAACAAATTCGGAACTCAGTAAAAGAGAACATGGAACGTTTGCAAGAATGCTTACGTGCTAGGCACTGATCCATCATATGCAAATGACCATAAGCCCTGTCGTTGCTTGTGTTTAGGACTAGCTGAGCATATGATATATACTCGCCCACGTCGTTTGACTGTACGGCAGAACTCACACATTTTCTTCACTGATGATCGCACCTTCATGGCTATTGGCTAATACAAGTCAAACTAATTCATTAAGTATATTATCAACCAAAATTAGCATTTGATAAATGAGAAACTAAACACGCTGGGATTGTTACATACCCAAGACAACCGAGAAATTCTTTCAAAAAAGATAAGAAAAGGATGCGGAGTTTTGACTTGCTCATTTGCATTGAAATTTACCAGTTTGGTCTTATCGGTAATTCATTACTCCGTATTATTTAATGTTGGTCTTAGTGTAATCAATAGCTGAGAGCAGATTATGGAAGAAAGCTTAAAATCGCTATATAAATTTAGCGGATAGCGTCACGGTAAATAAATGAAGCATAGAGGATTAGGTTAAACAATATATACACATACAAATAATAGTAAAATATCATGTTAGATGTAAGCATATCGACATATAGTGATATCAAAACAGTTAGAAACTTAAAACCAAAAATAGAATTATAGCACAAAACTAGTAAGCCACTGGAAATCAAAGTTTTCTTAAACTGAATAATCAGCCAAAACAGCTGCCATGTTTCATTTAAGTGTAGGGGGGTATGGAAGCTAAATATGAGGGGCCTTAAAGGGCTAAATATGAGAGGTACTACATTTGAAAAGCCCCTATAATAGGCAATATATTTCAGGATAGAATCATAGAACTGCTTGCCTGCCAGGTGTGAAAGCATACTGAAAGTGCTCAACATAGAACCACATAATGAGCATCCAAAAGAATAAAATGTTAAGAAACTGCAAACGGGTTGCCAATAAAAAGATTCTACGGACAGGGAGATAAATTGCAGACGGGGGAGATAAATTGGATGAAGCACTGAAAATCAGCTTGATACATCTATATGTTAAAGCAAAACGGTGATACTAATTATGATTCAGCGAGAATCCAAAAGGGTGTTTTACCGAGAACAACGACAAAGAGACTTGGGCAGAATGGTATCGGCAACCTCAATGAGTGACGGCGGCGAAATAGAGCGGCGCGTCGAAGCAGATCGGCGCTTGCTACTTTTTACAATCCTACGACGGAAGGGTGATTTTCGTGTAAATGGAAGGTGGTTCACCTGCTACGACGCTTTGTGGGAAGGGTGATTGAGGACATTTTAGTAAAAGGCGACTCAATTTAATAAGTGAGAGTGTGAGATATAAAATAAAAGACCATGTTTATTTTAAAAGATTTAAAATAACCTTTAACATTTAAATATTTAAAATAATCTTATGTATATAGACACACAAATATTCACGTGCACAAGTATATAATATACATGGTATTCTTATTTGGACAAAAAAAACCTTATTAAGATGGAATAACTCAAATGCCCCTGATCTAACTTCAACAACGATCTTCCAAACACTCGTCCCTCACACAGACACGCTCATCATATCTAGGGGTGGTTCAGTACGGTATACTGAATATTTTCTCTCATTCCTTTGTTGTACCAAAACTTTCGGTATACAAAATTTATATAGAGAGATTTCCCAAAATAGGAGTAAATGAAGTTTGAAATTCCAAAATAGGACTACTTTGTTTTTATTCCCGAAATAGGACTAACATGGCAGTATTTACTGTCATCTTGTAGCCGTGACTGCCAAATAGTTGCAATACAGTGTATTTTACATGACATTATTTATTAGAATTAATGACATTATTTTTCAATCATGACAATATTTTTCATACATGACAGTATTAACTCATATTTCGGGAAGAAAAACATACTAGTCCTATTTTTGGAATCTCAAGTGTCATTTGCTCCTATTTTGGGTAATTTCCCCATTTATATACCGTTATCTTGCCGAAGTTTCGGTATACCGCATTTCGGTATACCGAAGTTTTGGTTCGGTGACGGTACGGTATCGGTAAATTACAATGCATGTCTTCCAATACAACAAATTATCATAGACTAACAAAATATACTAAATCGGTGTTACTAACAACATATTTAATCCATTATTAGAATGTTACAAAATACAATTAATAATCTGTTGATGTCATATTCAATATTTAACAATTATTATTATTAGTACTCCCTCTATCCCAAAAACAACTTCCCACTTTCCTTAAATGGATGTCCCAAAATTAACTTCACACTTCTTTCCACTTCCTTATTTGGCAAATTATCAACATCAAAACAGTATCAAACAGTACTAAACAGTGCTAAACAGTGCTAAACAGTGTCAAAACAGTGTCACAACAGTAAAATTTTGGGAAAGTCAAACCAAAACTTTAATCTACATAAATGTGTGTGCTAGTCAAACTGTGAAGTTGTTTTTGGGACGGAGGGAGTATATTTAAGCAGTTCAACATGTCACGCATTAAAAAACAACACATTCTCCTAAAATAACTTGAACAATATAGATATAATTATATGAATAGTGATATCTAACAAAAATAAATAAAATTATTCAAACAACATGGGTATAAAATCATTTATCCCTAATTTGATATTGTGTATTAAGTCATTTTTATAGTTTTAAAAAATATTTGAATAAGACTTCAGACAAAATTGTTTGACTCGACTCGCGGAATCCTTATGTAGATACACTCGTCACACAAGTTTATCTCTCTTCACTCGTCAGCTACTCAGCGGCTCAACCATCGTGAAGATGGACTTGTTTCTGGACATTAGTACATTACTCATTAGTCATTAGGGTTAGTGTGTTTGAAGGTTACGTAGTAGAAACCTAGAAGGTTATAGTGGTTTTGAGAAATTGAGTCTTTATTTTTGTATTTTAGTATTGTAACCAACCTAAGCATTAATTTTGGGCTTCAAAATTGTAATGGACTTTTGCAATATTTAAGAATATAAAGTAATTGTTGGGTAGGGAATCGGTACGGTATTATACCGATATACCGCGGTATTTGGAAACATTTACTGTTACCTTACCGAAATAAATCGGTACGGTATGATATCGTATCGAAAATGATGGTATACCAATATTCCGGTATTTTCCGTTACGGTAAGTGCAGTATACCGATTTTTCAGTATTTTCACCCACCCCTAATCACATCTCCCCTCACTATTCCAGTCGTTACCACCGTCCCATGCACCCGCTTCCAATTCACAGTGAATCTGCTACAAGCTCCGCTAGATCGATGGCGAGCTCCGATGAATCTGCCCGAAGATCTGCTGGAACGAAAACTAGATCTTGAAGGCGATGAGCATTTGAATCGGCTGGAGCTCCGATGAATCCTATCATCTCTGTGCAGACGATACTCACACCTAACCCTTAAACTGCTGCAACTATTTTAATGCGAGAAAACTCACACCGGAGTTGATGCTCTATCCCCTACCCATTTGTAAAAGGGTATGGAGAGGCATGTGGTGCAATATGGGTACCATGCAAAAGTCTCACAACCATGTGTATAAATAAGATAGTCTCTCCTTGTTCAAAATCATCATAAAAGGAGAGTGTTACACTTAGAGAGTTAAGTTTTCATAGTTGATTGAACTTGACTTCTATTGCAATTATGTTCCTGTTATGAATAGAAATTTTTCTCAATCCTAACAAACAACACAAAGAAGAATTCCATCTTTGGTAAACAACTCATGCTAAAAGCACTTTCGGAAGATTTTCCGTTTGATGATGATGAATTCCTTAAGGTCCCCATTTGGGTGAAATTTCCTAATTTGCACATGAAGCTTTGGAATGAGGAGGCAATGGGTGAAGTTGCTTCTATGGTTGGGGTTCCTTTATCTACGGATAAAGTTACTCAAGATAGGAGTAACCATTTATTGGCTAGGGTGTGAATCGAGGTTGATGTTTCACAACCACCTTCGCTATCATTTCCTATACGACTATCTTCCCGCAAGGTAGTCAACCAAAATGTGGTTTATGAAACTTTTCTCAAATATTGTTTCCATTTCAAAGTTTATGGACACCACCCATTTATTTGCAAAAAGCTTGCACCTAAGAAGCAGGAAAATGATATTATCAAAGAAGGAGAGAAAGAGGTGATTAATTTATCAAAGGAAACTCGAGAGGAAAAATCCAAGGAAATTGTGGAGGAGCTTCGAACTGAACTGGAAAAGCAGGTGGGAAAAGAAATGGATGCCATGGTGCCGATTAATTCGGTAATACCGGCTGCCACCGTGCCTGTTGAGGAGGTTGGATTTGCAAAAAACAGTTGTGCACCGGTGGGTAGTGCACCAGTTGAGCATGCTAACAAGAAAAAAGGTTCTGGTAAGAATTTGAGGGAGAAGGCAGTTACTTAGTCGCAACTTCACTTTTCGTTAGTGGAATATTTTGTGATATTAGTTTCTTTTGGCGATGTGGGGAATGTCCCGAATTTCATTACTTTTGTGATGCATGTTGTTTAGGATAATGCAGTCTAGCCTGGATAGCTGCTTTGATTTGGACTTGATGCATTGTAATATGTTAATTTTTGGATGGTTTATATACATACTTACATTTAATCCAAAAAAACAAATAGAGTCACAATTGTTCGCTAATTACACACTTTGAACATAAGCATTTTAGTGTCATTAATGGTGAACAAAATCATGCAACATGTTCTCTAACTACCACTCAAGATGATGAATGTCAGCATGTGGTGGAGCACTATTTGATAATTAGGAAGGTAATTAAGGGGATTTTGAATATTGATGAACAAAAATCCTTAAAGTTAGAAGAAGTTGAAGAAGCTAAGAATTTTGAGATTTAACAAGTCTATATTAAAGGATAATCAAGAGATGTTCAAGAAATATATTTTCATTGTAGAAACTAGAAAGTGCAGGAGAAGCTTATGTAGGAAAATTTCATACTACGTAGGGGATTCATAAGTGTGTCCCTAGGTTATGCATTTATAGAATATTCGAATCCCCTCTTAATTTACATATACGATACCTATCATGAATGATGAATCTAGCCAACTTACTTTTTCCAGATATGTTCAATTATTTAAAACACTTTCACACTATTAAAGGGATAAGGGTCAGATATGGCCTCAAACTTGAAAAAAATGTCAAATAAGGCTATATTTAGGATGCTCTGTCTGGCCGACGTCATTTGGGGCGGTTCCCGGTGAAATATTTTGATGATTTTTTTTTGAGAATCTTATTCATTAAGTCTAGTTTACTCATATCAAATTTGAACTAAAACTTCAATCTAGAAGGCATACAAATGAATTCTTGAAGATAACTGCGCAGTTAAAAGAGCAATTATCTTCAACAATTCATTTCAATGCCTTCCCGATTGAAGTTTTAGTTCAAATTTGATATGAGTAAACTAGACTTAATGAATAAGATTTTCAAAAGAATTCATCAAAAAATTCCACCGGGAACCGCCCCAAATGGCGTCGGCCGGACAGAGCATCCTAAATATAGCATTATTTGACATTTTTTCCAAGTTCGAGGCCCTATCTGACCCTTATCCCCGCTATTAAAATATAAAACGAGAAAATGCATGCATAATGTATGAGAACCCAAAACATGCATTAAACATAAAGTGCAAAGAGAATTTGACTAAATGCATTGAAAATATCAATATCAGTTGACTAAATGCATTGGAGAAATTAAATGAAGTAAATTGTGTGGATAATATTCTCAAAAAAGAGAGAGAATAGAGTTTTATATAAACAATTTAAAAGATGCATGAAGGTGTAATCTTAATCTCTATTTTCAACTCATTTAAAATGTGATTATTCCACAATATATACGAGTGCATCCTGTATGACTGGAATTCTACCAGGTATGTCATTTAAGGATATAAAAAATTTTGAAATACCAAATAAGTACTTGCTTGGCATTAAATTAAAGCAACGTTCATACAATATCAATGTGCACAACGTGTTGACTAGTGGTACCGAAGGATAAGAGATGATATTTGTAGTGTGTAATCTAATACCAAGGTATATTAAAACAATTTGAGATATAGAGACAACTTAATTAAGTATATCACAAAGGAACCAATTAGAGAGAAATGCATTCATATAATTATCAATTTACAAAAACAATGATCAAACTTTGGGTGACTAATTAATAATTAATTATCTACTTTTAATGCTTAATTGACAAAAGTATTTATTAATTAACCAAAAAAGTTATCCGTTACTTAAATTAAAATTACAAAATCTAACATGGGTATGTGCTAAAGAATAGTTATGTGATTAAGTTATTCAATGAAATGTGCTTTTATTTCTAACTTAAACGACATATTTATTTAATTTACAAAATGTGTGTGAATTACACCATGTTTTAGCCTCATAAATTTATAAAATAATATCACATATTGGTTAACATTTGGATTTTCATGTTCAAAAAATAAAATAAAATGATGCCTATAGTAAACTTTACTCTTCAAAAAATAAAATAAAATTCTGATCAGACCTATAGGAAAGTTTGAGTTCAATTAAGAACATGTGCGTTTTCTAACTCATGCATTTCTCTTTATAAAAAAATACTCCGTAATGATTAATACTCGTAATGAATAGTAGGGCGTAATTTAAGTTCGTTCCACGTACCACGAACTATCCGTGTGGCGAGGTCTGAACGGATAAACCGGAAATGCCCATTTTTGGGAACGATTCATTTGGTCCAAAAAGGTGGAATCTCCCACCGGATGAGCCCCATACCCCGACCCGACAGGATTTGTGGGAGGATGTTAATCACGGTGATTCAGTCGACCCAATGATGATAGGGCCTTTTTCCCGTGGAGGTACAATCTTATTTCAGGTTCTGTGACCTCCACACGGCAGGTTTCGAACCTTGGTCACTTCGTCCAAATTTCCCAAACACTGAACAGACTTCGGGTATGGGTAAACAGAATGGCCTCTTGCGTTGAAGTTCTTGACATCTCACCAAATACATTTAACTCCATTTTTAAATGTGATTTTCCTTTGTTTTATATGAAAAATTAATTGCTGGATTATATATACATACGCAGGCACAACTCGAAAACACTGCATCATCATCTTCTACCTGCCTCCTCCCTCTCTAATCTTCTATTTTTCCCTATTGCAGTCTGCAAGTGGGTTTTTCTTTTCTTGAAAAACACGACTTTTTTCTGGACTTTCTTGAATTCTAATCTGGGTTTTGCTCGTCTTGTTGGAAAGTCCCATCCTTTTTACTCGGTTATCTGAGTTGTCTTCTGAAAAACAGCAGACATGTCTACTCTTGTAAATCGCAGTGGTGAGTTCATCAATCTCTTCCGTCACTTTTGGATTAGTTTAACTTATTGGAGTTTTAATGAATTTATGTGTGAACTTGTGCTTGTTTGTTTGATATAGAAATCAATTCAAAATGTGTTTCAATTCCTTATTGAGTAATGTGCAAATGTGTTACTCCCTCTGTCCCAGTTTAGTTAGTCAAACTTGACTTTTCATGTCAATGACGTCTAACTTTGATCGATTATATGTTTACATAGATAAAATATTAATAATATGAAAATGATATGAAAATGTTTTTTTGTTAAAAGTACTGTCATATTTGCATTTTATGATTCATTTGCTAGTCACTGTTAAGGTATGTAGGATCTAGGCAGTTCAACAAGATGAAAGATGCTAAACATAGTGACAACGCTCTGGTTTTCAGGTGATGATGAATTCTACACTGGCAGCTCATTATGTTCTGCGGATTTAGGCCTTATCTTATCCCTCGGTTATACCGATGTTTACTGCCCACCTAAGAAGCGGGCCCGACTCCCTTGTTCGTTCATCGTTGAAGAACATGAAAAGAAACCATCGATCGAAATCCTTCCCGACGAGTGCTTGTTTGAGATCTTTAGGCATCTGCGTGGAAGTCGTGAAAGGAGTGCTTCTGCTTGTGTTTCCAAGCGCTGGCTCATGCTATTGAGTAGTCTCCGCAGTTCTGAAATATGCAAGGGCAGGGACCACCTATTTGAAGAAAAATGTTCTGAAATTGAGCATGGACACCTAACTAGGTCTCTGGAAGGAGAAAAGGCTACAGATATTAGTCTTGCCGCCATTGCTATTGGGACTTCGAGCTGTGGTGGACTCGACAAGCTTTCTGTCAGAGGGAGGAACTTTACGAACATTGGTTTATCAGCAATTGCACGGGGTTGTCCTGACCTCAAGGCCCTCTCCCTATGGAATGTGCCTTCCGTTGGAGATGAAGGTCTTATAGAGATCGCAAACGAATGCCATTCATTGGAGAAGCTCGATCTTTGTCAATGTCCTGTAATTTCTAGTAAAGGTCTAGTTGCAATTGCCGAAAAATGTAATCTAACTTCTTTAACGATTGAATCATGCCCTAATATAGGGAATGAAGGACTCCAAGCCATTGGAAGGCACTGTACTTTATTGCAGTCGATAACCATCAAGGACTGCCCTCTTGTTGGAGATCAGGGTGTTGCCACTCTTCTATCAACGAGTCCTTCCGTCCTAACAAGAGTTAAACTTCAAGGTTTAAAGATCACAGATTTCTCACTTGCTGTCATCGGACATTATGGGAAGGCAATCTCATCCCTTGCTCTTGGTTCACTTCAGAACGTGAGCGAAAAAGGTTTCTGGGTAATGGGTAATGCTCAAGGTCTGAAGGCTGTAACTTCTTTGACGATCACTTCATGTAGGGGAACGACAGATGTTAGTCTCGTAGCTTTGGGCAAATGTTGTTCGAACCTGAAACATACGAGCCTACGCAAGTGTTGCTTCGTGTCTGACCATGGACTGGTCGGATTCACCAATGCTGCTTCTGGAACCCTAGAAAGCTTGCAGTTGGAAGAATGCAATGGGATCACTCAAATAGGGGTTCTCAACGCACTTTCTAATTGTGATAAGTTAAAGTCACTTTCTTTGGTAAAATGCATCAGTATAAAGGATATAATGACAGAAATGCCCTTGTTACTGCCTCCATGCAAATCTCTGAAGTCATTGTCCATCCAAAATTGCCCTGGCTTTGGCAGTACAAACTTGGCTATGGTGGGGAAGCTCTGTCCTCAATTACTCCACCTGGACCTCAGCGGACTGTGCGGGATAACAGATGCCGCTCTTCTCTCCCTTCTAGAGAGTTCTGAGGCAGGACTGGTCAAGGTCAACCTCACTGGTTGCCTAAATCTCTCAGATGAGGTGGCATTTGCCCTGTCGAGGTGGCACCGTCAGACACTTAAAGTGCTAAATCTTGACGGCTGCATGAAGATGACAGATAAGAGCTTAGTGGCACTGGCTGACACCTGTCCCTTTCTTAATGACCTCAGATGTTTCAAAATGTTCTATATCTGATTCCGGTGTGGCTGCTTTATCTCGTGGTATACAGATGAATTTGGAGATTCTTTCCCTCTCAGGTTGCTTTATGGTATCAAACAAGAGTGTTTCTTCCCTTAGAAAATTGGGGAAGAATCTGCTCGGTTTGAATCTCCAACATTGTAAAGGCATGAGCACTACTGCCATTGAACTTCTAGTGGAGAACTTGTGGAAGTGTGATATCCTTTTTTAAGACTATATAAGGTGTTCCGGTATGAAGTCGTGTACCACATTGGAAAAAGAAGAGAGTATCCAATTTACTCCATACATTGAGGCCTTTCGAAAAGTATCCAAAAACAAATCCATGCAGGCTTGGCCCAAAGGGGGCATTGCACTTAAAAGGGATTCATGGGTTAATGATACTCCAACGTCTGAGCTGTATTAATCATGAAGCTCTAGCATAAAGTTTTCCATGTGTCTTTTTGCAGGCTTATCGAAAGTCCTGTTAGAACTCTTCAGGTTCTGTGATAGGCTTGGGGGACAGCAACAGCCTATTCAATACTTCAATAAGATGTACAAGAGGAGAAATAAGTAGTATTATTACTTAACTATATAATAGCTAGTTCGGTTGGTCCCTGCGTGGACAATGAGCTATAAATAGTAAGTAGAGAACAAAATAAGGCAGGTTGTTATTTTGTCATTGGCTGGTAGCTTGGAGATTGGGCATCTCGAACTGTCCCACCCTTGTACCCCTTTACCGACTTTCTCTCTCTCTCAATAAACTGATTGTGATCTGTTCTAGCTACATTTTCCTTAGAATTGTGATTGTTCTATGTTCATTACTGCCAGTGTCCTATCATTGGTATCAGAGCAATTGTTCTGGTGATCGGAAAATTCATAGAAGCATCGCCAGAAAGTTTTTTCTCTCGATCGGAATTGTGAATGGTCCGAACGAGAGGCAAAATGGAAAATCTAAGGGAGGAGATGGAACGTAGCAGAATAGCGACTGAGGAAACGCTGTTACACATGAGAACGATGATGGATAACATGACGGTAAGAATGGATGCTATGAGCGAGGAATTCCGCGCGAGTAGGAGGTCGCGATCTCGCCATCATCATCGTCGACAGACTTCGCACAGCCCTGCGACGTCTAGAGGTAACTCAGTGTATTCTAATATCCATAATCATCTTCGTACTGAGGAGCATGTAAGATTACCGGTACGTACTGGAAGAAAAATTGATTTACCATTGTTTAATGGAGAGGGAGCTTACAACTGGATAATACGAATGGAGAGATATTTTAGATTGAATCAGATTGTTGAAGAGGAGAAGGTGGAAGCATCTATGGTCGCCATGGAGGACAGAGCTTTGAATTGGTTTCACCTGTGGGAAAATCAGACGGAAGAAACAAGTTGGGAGGTGCTGAAGAAATCTGTTATCCGTAGATTTCAACCGGAATTACTTCAAAATCCGTACGGGCCTATACTCAGTGTGAAACAAACGGGAACTGTGGAGGAATACAGAGCAGAATTCGAAATGGTGATAGCACCACAACAGAATATGGATACAGAGTTATTGAGAGGAATTTTCATATCAGGCCTCAAGCAGGAGATCAAATCTGAGCTGAAACTGTTTGCTTCCAGATCGTTGACTGAAATTATGGATAAGGCCATTCTAATTGAGCAGAAGAATGAGGTCAAATATTTGCAGAGAAAAGAGGAGGATAAATTTTCTGGGAAGGAGAGAGGACCGTTGCCTATGAAAAATCAGAATTGGGGTGAAGGATTCAAGAGCAGATTTGGCAATTCCTGGTCAAATCAGAGAAAAAATGGGGCTGAAGACAAGAATAACAATGCTTGGTTTGATAAAGCAGGACAGAAGATTACTGAAATACATCCCTCTGGCATCAGAAAAGTGGGACCTCAGTTGTCACAAGAAGAATATCAGGAAAGAAGTAGGAAGGGACTTTGTTTTAAATGCGGAGAGAAATGGAATAGGGATCATACTTGTAAACTGAAAAACTATAAGCTGATTATGGTAGAAGATTCCACAGAAGAAGAAAATTCTGATGGGGAAGAAAGGGAAATTCCTGTAGAAGAGGAGACTAGCATGGAATCCAAATCAATGCAGTCATCACTCATGAGTAAGGAAGGGATTCCTTCCATGAGAGCTTTCAAGGTGAAGGGTTGCTTGAAATGGGAATTGGGAGAAAAAGAAGTGGACATACTCATTGACAGTGGAGCTACTCACAACTTTATATCTCAAGGGATGGTGAATAAACTCAGGATACCTTACACCACTATTACAGGGTATAAGGTACAGATTGGCAATGGTGACAAACTGGTTAATAATGGGAGGTGTGAAGCATTAACTGTAGATTTACAAGAAGCAGTAATTGAGCAGGATTTTTATATCCTGGATCTCGGGGGTACTGATATGGTGCTTGGGATGGAATGGTTGACCAACTTAGGAGATGTGGAAGTAAATTTTAAAAAACAGGTGATCAGGTGGCAGGAGCAAGGGATGAATCAAATAATACAAGGGGATCCACATTTGAATTCTCTGGAGGTATCTTTGAACACCATGACTCAGATTCTAAATGATGCAGGGGATGGGTATTTGATTCTGTGTGAAGGCAAGTCTGTGGAATTTAAAAAAAGGGAAGAAATAGATGAAACTTGGAAGCAGATTTTGGCAGAATTTCCAGAAGTTTGCACACCTTTGAAGACACTTCCTCCCAGCAGATCATGTGACCATCCAATTAATATTCAGCAAGGAGCACAGATCCCAAACATAAGGCCCTACAGGTATCCTCATTACCAGAAAACTGAAATTGAGAAAATCATAAAAGAAATGTTCAATGAAGGTATAATCCAGCACAGTAATAGCCCTTATAGTAGCCCTATCTTATTAGCTAAGAAGAAGGATGGGGGTTGGAGGTTCTGTGGTGACTATAGGGCTTTGAACAAGATTACTGTACCTGACAAATTCCCTATACCTATCATTGAAGAACTGCTGGATGAGTTAGGTGGAGCTATGATTTTTTCCAAATTGGACTTGAAATCTGGTTATCACCAGATAAGAATGAAGGAGGAAGATAGGCAAAAGACTGCATTCAGAACTCATGAAGGGCATTATGAGTACTTGGTAATGCCCTTTGGTTTGACCAATGCACCATCTACTTTCCAAGCACTCATGAATCAAGTCTTAAGGCCTTTCCTCAGAAAATTTGCCCTGGTTTTCTTTGATGACATTCTCATATATAGTAAATCCAGGGAAGAGCATCAAACACATTTGAGGAAGGTATTACTTGCATTGAAGGAGAATCAGGTAGTTATAAACTCAAAAAAATGTTCTTTTGGGCAATCTGAACTGGTATACTTGGGTCATATAATATCTGGGAGTGGAGTTGTTGCAGACCCTACCAAGATAGAGGCTATGATTCAGTGGCCACAGCCTAAGGATGTGAAAGGATTGAGGGGATTTCTGGGACTTACTGGCTACTACAGACGGTTTGTAAAAGGGTATGGCAAGATTGCTTTACCTTTAACACAGCTTCTAAAGAAAGACAGTTTCCAGTGGGGGACAGAGGCTACAAAGGCATTTGAGGAATTAAAGAACAGGATGACCACTCTACCAGTTTTGGCAACCCCAGATTTTAATAAGGTCTTCATTGTAGAAACGGATGCTTCTGGTACAGGTCTGGGGGCTGTTTTGATGCAGGAAGGTCGGCCTATTGCATATATGAGTAAGGAATTGTCTAAAAGAAACCAGAACAGGTCAGTCTATGAAAGAGAGTTGATGGCTATTGTTTTGGCAGTCCAAAAATGGAGACCTTACCTGTTAGGGAGAACTTTTGAAGTTCATACAGATCAGAAACGCTTAAGATTCTTAACAGAACAAAGATTGTTGGGGGAGGAGCAACAAAGATGGACTTCCAAATTACTGGGTTACAATTTCATTATCAAGTATAAACCTGGAGTGGAGAATAGAGCTGCAGATTCTTTGTCCAGAAGACCCTCTCTCAATGCTATTTCCATAGTCACTTCACAGGAATGGGAAGGTTTGGAAGAAGAGTCACTTACAGGTCTCAAATGCCAATCAATACTCCAGCAGATCATATCACAGCCAGATCAACATCAGGAGTTTCAGACTATCAAGGGGTTATTATATTACAGAGGGAGACTAGTTTTACCTAGTAAATCTCCTAGAGTTATCAGAATTTTGAAGGAATATCATGATTCTGCTATTGGTGGTCACTCGGGATACTTTAGAACAATGAAGAGAATATCTAATTTGTTTTATTGGCATGGAATGAGAAAGGACATAAAGAAGTTTGTGGAGGAATGTCCTACATGTCAAACAAACAAATATCAAGCTCTAAAACCAGCCGGGTTGTTACAACCCCTGCCTATTCCTCAGAATATCTGGACTGACATTTCCATGGATTTTGTGGGAGGGCTGCCAAAATCACATGGAAAAGATACTATCATGGTGGTTGTGGACAGACTGACTAAGTCAGCTCACTTCTTAGCTTTATCACATCCATTTAATGCCAAAGAGGTGGCTGAACTTTTCATCAGAGAGGTAGTCAAGTTGCATGGGTTCCCCAAAACTATTGTGAGTGACCGGGATAGCATATTTATGAGTGCCTTTTGGTCTGAACTCTTCAAATTAGCTGGAACTAAACTCAAATACAGCACAACTTATCACCCACAAACAGATGGACAGACAGAGGTGGTCAATAGATGCTTGGAAACCTACCTGAGGTGCATTACTGGCAAGAAACCTAAACATTGGGCTGATTGGTTAGCTTGGGCAGAATTCTGGTATAATACCAACTATCATGCATCCCTGAAAATGACACCCTACAAAGCTCTATATGGCCAGGACCCTCCTACAATGATTAGAGGGGATGCTAGTATTACAGCTGTTGAAGAAGTTTCCAATATGACTGCACAAAGGAACATGATGCTCAGAGAATTGAAGGAGAATTTGGAAAGAGCCCAAAATCAAATGAAACAACAGGCAAATAAGCACAGGAGAGAGGTGCTTTTGACAGTGGGAGATATGGTCTATTTGAAAATACAACCTTACAAGCTCGGGAGTCTGGCCAGGAGAATCAACCAAAAACTAAGTCCCAGATATTATGGCCCTTTTGAGATAATTGAAAAGATCAGTCCGGTAGCCTTTAAACTTCAATTACCTACAGACAGTAAAGTTCATCCAATATTTCATGTCTCACTTCTGAAGAAAGCTATACCATCTACCACTGCATTTCAGCCCCTACCAGCATGTCTGAGTGATGAATGGGAACTACAGGTGAAACCAGAAGAAGTGCTGGATTCATGGGTGAACAAGGAGGGAAAGATGGAAGTCCTAGTCCACTGGAAAGACTTACCTCCATTTGAAGATTCATGGGAAGTATTGCAGTCATTGACAGAACAGTTTCCAGATCTTCACCTTGGGGACAAGGTGAAATTCCAGGGGGGAGTAATGATAGGCTTGGGGGACAGCAACAGCCTATTCAATACTTCAATAAGGTGTACAAGAGGAGAAATAAGTAGTATTATTACTTAACTATATAATAGCTAGTTCGGTTGGTCCCTGCGTGGACAATGAGCTATAAATAGTAAGTAGAGAACAAAATAAGGCAGGCTGCATGTTATTTTGTCATTGGCTGGTAGCTTGGAGATTGGGCATCTCGAACTGCCCCACCCCTATACTCCTTTACCGACTTTCTCTCTCTCTCAATAAACTGATTGTGATCTGTTCTAGCTACATTTT